CACAACCAACAAAAAAGAAATGCCACTAGAAACACTGGGTTGTTGATTCATAAATGTTTTATGGTCAAATGCGATCCAACTCTGGTTTAGTCAGTCTCATGTTGAAAAAAGGGGAAAGAAGTCACTCATTTGGTACATAACTAAAAAGCAAACTCAAATGCTTGCGCATAAAAATGAACCTTCAATTGAACAGCACCAAATGAATATTGTCTTCCTCTTTCCGGAAGGCTGAACAAAGGTATGAATAACAGTTATCACACAACATACGTGAGCTCATAGCTAGTTAAGAAATATGTTAGGTGTGACAGCATTTGACTTAGCTGTCGCCTCTTTATTCTTTATATATAAGAGGCTTTTTTTCAGAATTTTATAAACCTGTGCCTAACATTGTATTGATTTTATACGAGGGGAAGGGGATTAAAACCTCCTCCACATGGAGTTCTTCCATTAAAAATCCCTCTATACACATTGTAATCTCTCAGTAAAGGCTGTTACTCAAAAATCAACCACCTCAGCCCTAAATATTTGTATTTTCTGAGGTAACCAAATCCAATGAGAAAACTTTCCCACAATCTTCATCTATAAATCAAGTGTCCTATGTCTTTGAGCAAATCCATTATTATGGACAGTGTCCAGCAAGGAATGCAGATATGCAGGACAGCATATAATATTAAGATAATTTGCATAATTAAGAGCAGCAATTGTGTGAATCATCCGTGTCTTGGTGGATTCAGTATTTAGCCATAAATCACACTCCAAGGATACAAATTGAAGGACGCAATCTACCAACTGAACTAGGTTTTTAATCTACTAGAAACTAACAAACATTGAAGTTTATGATAGATATTCAATGGCAAGAGATAATAACGATTGAATAGACATATGAGTCAAACGAAGCAGGAGATTGGAAGAATGAATCAGATGAGCTTGAAAGGGAGAGGCCAAGGAGTGGACCTGGGAACTTCGACCTTGTCTTTTATGCGCTCTATCATCTTCTCTTTCTTCGGACGAGAGTTTCCGTACGATCCCTTGAATCTCTTCCCTTTCTTCGTCTTCTTGTCCCCGCGCCCACACAACTGTGGCAACGCCGGCGCCGCCCTCTCCGCCGTCATCAGCCACTTCGCAGCCACGCTGCACCGCTGCATCACGCTCCCACCACTCGCCATGCTCCTTTCCTTTCCTTTCTTCTTCGCAATTCAATTCAATATACACTACAAAATCATGTGGGCCGAGGCTACACTTCCTTCTTCCTTTTTTAATTGGACCTTCATGGGCCTTACCCAACTTCTTTCCCCTATGCTATTCATTAAAAATATTCAAAACCCATCACGGATCAATTAGTGAGGTTATTCCACCTTAATACTTTCAAGCGCAACAAAAGACAATACATGTGGTTTAAGTAATGAGAGCTACTAAATTTTTTTATTTTTAATAAATTTTAATTAATATTAAATATTATATTCAAAAGAGTATATATTTTTTAAAATAATTATAGTGTTGGTACAAAGTATATATCATATAAAACAGTGATAAATCTTTATTAGAGAATATGAGTATATAAGGTGGGTATTTTCCTCTCATTATAATATATTCAAAAGAGTATATTAAAAATGTGCAGTTAATGTTTTTCTTATAATTACATATTTTCTTTCTTGTCTTTGTGTAATTATTGAATAATAGTGTATGTTCTTATTCACGTGTTTTATACAATTAATTTTTTAAAAGTTTGAGATAATTTATTAACTAATAAGATTTTGTTTGAGAATTTTTAATTTAAATAAAATTTAACAACAAAAATAATGTGATATAAGAAATAATAATAGAAATATATATAAGCAAGTCAAATAAATAAACACAAAAATAACTAGTTTAGATTTAATTTAACAGAGAAAATTCAAAATATAAATTTTTTAAAATATAAATAATTAAAAAGTAAGACATAAATGTATTTAAAATTAATATTTTAATTTATTTTTGAAAAATTAACTCCTATATGTAAAATATGAACAATTATCTTGCACGAAAACATTTTTATGAGTTTTTCTTCCATAAAATAATTTTTAGATACTTTTTTAACTTTATATATAATTTGATTTTTATTTATCATAATTATTTATGAATTAAATATTAACATTATTTAAATAAATTATCAATAAATAAAAATAATTGTGTCACAAAATAAGTTATTTATCATAAATCTAAAATATAATTTATATATTTAAAAAATATTTATTTATTCAAATTTTAATATAATATATATATTCTAACCTAGTATTTATTTATATACATAATTTATTTTAAATTTTAATTATTTATAATAAATTTTTAACATGTATATTCCATAGGTTAACATATTCGTAATTAATAATTTGAATATTTTAAAAATTATAAAAAAAATACTTTTTTTATAATTTCGTATTGACTATCAGGTACCACGACGCTCTTCAATGACCACTGTGCAGGCATAATGAACATAAATTTGGATTATTTTGGTCATGATTTCGTATTCTTTTTTAATGCTCAATTTCAAGTATTTAGCATATTATATACGACTGTTTCCTTAATTTGTGGTTCAGTTACTTCTCTACATTACAATCATATATGTTCTATTGTACAATTTATTCAAGTGACTGAAAAAGGCAATTTTGTTTGATGAAAAATTGCAGCATGCCTTTAAAATCCGTCATTCTCAAGGTCAAAGGTCAAACAACTACGACTTTTGTTTTCAATCAATGATTTCAGAGCGCGTCAATCTCCTACCAATGTTTATTATAAAGTAACAGAGATAGTATTTCTTGCTAACAGAAATAATATCCAATGAAATCACAGGAGAAACTGTTTCATTATCTGCTTTTCATAGAAAGAAAATCTCCTGAAGGATTTCAATTTCTTTTTATTCTTAGGTGCAAATGCCTCTGCTCCCGTCCCATAGGACTAAATAATTTTCCGCAAGATGAATTTGAGGGAGAGAATTTTGCAGCTTTCTAAAATGAAGTACGAGTATCAAGTATGGTTCATATGTTATATTACACAATTTGATAAGTCGAATTTATACAAATATTGTCCCCGTTCTCTGAATCTACAAAATCAAACTAAGGAAAAGGAAAACTTCTAAACATTCTCATTGGTTACATACTTTATTTGCTACAAGCGTAGCTAGGATACTAGACTCTCGAAACTAGTGTCGTTGATTTATTTGATACATATAGGGGCCAGGCCAGCCTAGTAAATTGCTATCTAATACTTTGATTTTATATCAATCAACCCTTTAGGGAGTATTTCTTCCCAATGAAAGGCTGAAATCTCGGTTGCTTCTGATGGGGTGGCTCTTGCTTTGACTCGGTCTTTTCCTACAATAAACAGAAAAAAATGATATTAGTTGCCAGCCAGATAAATATTATCTAAGAAGAGCATTGAGGAGAAGGAGTAGAATTACCTTTCCTGTTTCTTTTGAACGGTAAAAATTTGATCCAAACACTATCTTTCCTTGAGATGGACGAGAAAAACTTGGTGAACTAGATGTTGTAGAAGACAGTGAATTGACATTTGGAATTTGGTTTCCATCCAAGCGTCTCCCAGTCCCGAAAAATGGGTTCAACTTAGCTGTGATAAGAAGCCAAAAGTTAAGTCACATTTTCATGCTATTGATACAGCCTAAAGAAAAAAAAAAAAAAGGCAGATTAAGACCACGAGTATTGAATGTACACCATTGTCTAGTGTTTTGTTTGCAGTATTAGGCTTGTAATCCAAGGAAGGAGCAAAGTCCACCTCACAGTCTGTCTCGGTGATGCTTATAGCATTATTAGGTTTTGTTTCTATAACATCTATATAATACTTTTTGTTGTTGTATGTCACCATGATGGTATCTCCAGTAGTCAAGCAGGAAAATTTTCTCAAAGTGGTCTCTAAGCTGCAATGTAAAATATGATCAAAGTCTAAAATGATATCTATCAGTGAGTAAATTATTTTCATCCAATATAATACGATCACCATCAACTCACATAGCTTTTGGGTTGGAAATATCAAAAAAGTCCTTTGTGTGGGGTTGTAATTTAACATATGTTCCCTTTGGAAGTGATACATATTTCACTCTAACGGTGTCTCCCTCTTGTAAAACCATATTCTGCATCATCTGTATAGAACATGTCATTAAGAAACTAGAACGCATTAAGAAACTAGAAACTTGGAGAACCATTCTACTAGCAACAAGCATATGCACAAAGTTTCGATTCCTGTGGTCCTACCCAGTATGGCATATATATAGTTCCTTCATCTGCAATGAACTCCAGAACCCCACAATGAGAAACCCTCTCAGAAGCACCATTTCTGAGTTCAAACATCATAGGATAATCTATACGTAGAAAAGCTGCAATATTACACTTGATATTAGTCTTGCTATTTTGTCAACTGGACATCAACATCAGTGGAAAGACCGAAAAAAATATGCATATATAATCAAATATAAGATCGGACTTAAAAAACCTTACCTAGACGATCAAGGGCTGAAGGAGGCATTATAACTGAAGCAGCAACAATCATAACATATTCAGTATTAGACGGGTAAAAGAGAGTGCGACGATATAAAATAAAACAAACCTGGCTAGATTTGGAAACTTACTTTTATCGCCATTTTCAATTTCGGACTGCAAAAATCATGAAGAATAGTTGGAATAATTTTCCACAAGATCTATTTGATACTGCAAAAATCATGCTTTTAAAATTATTTTAATTCACATTAAGAGTTTAAGTCTTCCAAATATGCTTTTAAAACTCTTTATTTCAACCAGATTTTGATATTTAAGCAAACAAAAAGTAGAGAAAATGATTTTACTTTTTTTTTTCACACAGAAGTGAACAGAGCTTGAATTTTGAGTCTGTAACTACACTTAACAAACTTGCTTTCCCAATATAGTACGTATAATCCAGAACTTTAGGTGTTTATGCAAGTTTTTTCATTAGTCCATTTTTTCCTATTAAACCTCTTCTAATTGAGCTGATTCATGTGCTATATTTAACATTATTTATTGAACATAAATAAAATCTCATACTGTTAAAATAAGACGAAAAATACAAATTTATAAAATACATAAAATCTCCATTACTATAAAACTTTTAAATAATAACTATAAATAAATTTATTAAAGTTTAAGCCTAAAATAAGTTTGAATTTTCGATGCACACCAATATTCAATCAGTCAAATGTATACCAATATTCACTATTATTAAACATGACCTATACACTGACTCTGTCGTTGATGGTCCTGGGTCATTAATTCAACCAATGGATTCCGGATCTAATCGATTGAACAGGTTGATGTTATCTACACTTTGCATTTAATTTACTCAGCTCAGAACGGTTACTCAACAGATTCACTGGTCAAACAGCCAGATTGAACCATGTTTTAAAACTAGGCAAATATTCTTCCCCTTCTCTAAACTCAATGAAACTAAAAAAAGAAAAACTAGTAACATTTTCAATCGTTGCATAGGTTATATGCTAGAAGCGTAGGTAGGGTACTAGACTCTTGAAACTCAAATGAAAGTCCATAGCTCATGTTGTATTATTTCATAAACAGTTCCGTGCATGTAGTTTTAGTTTATCACAAATTTACAATAATAATCACCTCAGTGAATTTTAACGGTGGTAATTAGTATGAACAGTAATGAATCATTGATAGAAATCATCACGTAGTAAAGGAATGCTGACCTTTTCAATAAATGAAGCAGAGTAACATCGATATATCTGTTCAAATGATGATGTCCCCTCATACCCATATCCGTCAAGAAACTGCCAATATACCAAAAGAAAATCATCATGGTACTATTTCAATGTCTAAGTAAATATTTGAATGACTAAAAAATGACTATTAATAAAGAAATATTGTTACAGCCAATGGAATTTAAATAAATAATTTAGGAATAACATGTTAACAATATGCACTAAATAGTATATATGTATAGCATACCATTTTGCTGTCCAAGCTTTAATTTGGAACTCGAGCTATTCGATCAAAGAAGACGAAATTCAATGTGTGGATTTGTAGTGGAGAGCGCCTTGCAGGACTGGTAAACTAGAAAAACCGATATTTATCATTGTTATTCAAGGTCATGGTCATGATCATGGCATGAGATAAGATAACCATGTGCTTTATGCTGTGGTGAAAGTTTAGATGACTATATCTATATGGTATATGTTCTTAGGTACTGCGTAACAAGTACGCAAGATCAAGCCTAGAAATAGAATCGACTCTATTATGGCCGAAGAACAAAGAACGAGTATAATTGGCCCACAATACCAAAGAACAAATTATCATCTTTTTTTCAAAAAAGATACGAAAGTAGTACTTTGTGCAAAATTTGCATAGCAAAAATGTGTATAATTAGAATACGTGTTTTTAGCATTTTTCATTCAATTATGTGTTCCGTGCACACCTTTCTCGATGTAATTTTCTCATGCGGCTTACACACATCAACCATCGCAGGAAAGTGGTTCACATTATGATGTAAGACTCGTATTTATAGTTAGTTGTAGAGCAGAACATGATAGACATACTATAATTTATATTTCTTTGAATATCCTTAGTTTTAGCATGTGTTTGGTTCAAATTTTTAACGTGATTTATCACGTTAAAATGAAAGTTATCAATTATAACTTTTATATTTTTAACGTGATTTTTTGCTTCGATACTAATTGATGTCATGAACTGAATCTATTACACATTGATGAAAATTATACAGAATATGTAAAAACAAATTGAAAATTACAGAGAATATCTAGGGAGCAATTATTGGGAGATGAATTTACCGACATAAATAGCATAAGAGATTAACTGATGCTTCTTCATATTTTGTCAACTCAATGCTTTACGTAAAGTTGTTGTTCAGCTTCCAAGTTCTAAATCGCGTTAAGATAAGCCCTCATGGTATATGAATATGATGCTGGAACATGTTCATTCGATATTCCTATCTATTCGATCGATTCACTATTATTCGACGAGAATTCTATGCCAAACCCAATTAATTATTTCTCTAAAATCTTGAACATTCTCCGTCACCTAATGACTCTAACCAGTGGCGTAAAATAAAATATTCAGATCATGAGCTTGTAAGATTTTCAAAAGGAAAATAATATGAAATTGATTTTATATAGATATCATGTATAATAAATAAATATTTTGGAATATATGTAAAAAAACTATATATTGTATTTATAATTCATAATAAGTAATTTTGAGCATATAAAATATACTTTAAACTTATTGTAAACAATATAGTACAAGTTATTTTAATTATTAATAATTTTAAAAATAATATTGAAAATCAATTTAAAACTTAAAAAATGTAAATATAAATTAAAAGAGACTAAAGGTTGAAAAATAAATCGCTAAAAATACTTTCATCAAAGAAATCAACTAAAAATACTCGGGTTGATAATAGTTTCTATAGAAACATTTTCTTTCAATATAGTTATTTTAATTTATAAATACATAAAAAAAATTATTAATAACTTTTTAAGATATTAAAATTCAATTTAAAATAAAAATTTAAAAAGATAAGAAATTAAAAAAAAATCATTAAAAACATTTTCAACAAAAAAAAATTCTAAAAAATATTGTCATTCAAGAAAGGGGCTGGGCGTGAGAAATGAGAATCACGAGACCATATTATTTGCTTGGAAAAATTGTATCATACATAAAAAATAAAAACAAAAAACTTAGAAAAATTATATTTGTTTTAATTTCTTTTTACAATAAAGTGAGAGATAAGATAAGAAAAGAAAAAATAATATGAAATAAACAATTAATGTACTCAGAAAATTAAAATAATAATATTATAAAAATTGCATAAAAATATATATAATAAATATTTAAAAATAATTTAAAAAGGATTGTTGAAAAAACAAACTAAAAAGAAATGGTGTAACGTGTTTCGTAATAAATCAATATTAATACAAGTGTTTCGTACCTATAACGAATAATATATACTTCTATATCCATGCATTTAAGTAAAATTTGGTCTAATTAGCTTTATTTAAAAACAATGGGTTAAACTAAATATTGAGAAAACACATTTAAAAAAAAAATAAACGTTTCCTTGAAAACTCTTTCCAAAAATGAGTCATTATTCTTTCCATTTTGTCAATTTGACTAGACATTTTTTCAATATTAATTTTTTTTCTACTTTTGAAACGGTTTAACACAAACGTGTTTGGTAATAAAAAATTGAAGGATACCTGTACCTAACTGAACTTAAACTTTCCTCCTTGGCATCCTTATCCTTCATGGGTCTAATATAGGATCTCCGAATACACAAACATTTTATTTCAATTATAGTAAATTTTATCGTGACACTAAAGATAGACATACAAATGCCTAGTAAATATTCCTTTGACTATTCCGTCCTTTTCATTTTGGTTGAGCAACATTACATAATGGTTTGGTTAATTGAAATTTTAGAAAGTGGAAAATGATACTAGAGCCTTTGAGTCAAAATTCCACTTTAAAAATTTGCTCCTAAACAAGGTGCAGTCTTAGGAAGTCCTAATTAAGTGCTGGATAGGATACCAATGTGATAAAGTGAAAGTATTAGAGTAATGAAAGAAGAATGAAGATTATAGAGAATATTCATGGGGAAGATGGTGGGAAATGAATTCGCCGTCGTAAATAGCAGAGCATAACAGATTAGAAGATGCCTTAGTTTTGTCAACGCAATGCTTTCTGGAAAGCTGTTTATCTATAATCATGTGGTGCATGATGCTGGCCATGCTGGAACTTGTTAAATCAATATTCCTATCTATTCGATTCACGCTTATTCTATGCCTATGCCAATACATTATTCCTTTAAGATCTTGAACATTCTCCATGACCTATTGCCTCTAAGAACAAAAGCATTTCAGGTCATCTACTAGTGCTTATAACATTTTCAAAAGGGAAAGGGATTTTAAAATTTATATACTAAACTATTATCATTTTTTATTTATTTATTTATATATATATTATTAATGTGAAGTCTTTATTTGATTGGCTCATTTTTAATGAGTTTTCCCTTCTTAATCATTTTTTTTCATATATAAAATTTGAACTCGAGACTTTATTAAAAGAGATAAAGTTCAATATCAGCTAGATCAATGATTTATTTGTATTATTGACTTATTTTATTATGTTATTTTTTAAAGTATATATTTTTATTAAAAAAATATGTTTAAAAACTTTTATAATACTTAACTATCATTTTGTTGGTAAAAAATGGTGAAAACATTTAAAGAATTTATGTTAGTAGAGCTATCAAAATTGATCACTCATTTTGGTCTAGTATACCACGGATTGACTAATAAGTGAGTCAATCAAATCCAACTCACCTTCCAGTGAGCTAATAAAAAATGAATATGGTCCGACCTACAACGAATTGGTAGATTAAATGAGTTGACTTACTTAATTTTTAAAAATTAAAAAAAAATCTAATTTTTTGTAATGTCTAGCCATATTTTTCTTAAAATATCTATTTTTTAAATACATATCCAGCAAAATCTATTTTGTACCGGAAGGGTCCTATCGGCCACGTGGACCGACACGTGATATCGTATCGGATATCGGCACGAGGGACATCGGTCACATGGATCGACACGTCACGGCCTATCAGATATTGACGCGGTCCGGACACGACTTCGGCTAGGCGAAGGACCGAGAACTGTGGAGAATCCAACCCATTTCCTATCGGCTCGGCCAAAGGCAGAGAACAAAGAGGTCGTCTCGGCCATTCTCTATCGGCTCGGCCAAAGGCCGAGAACAAAGAGGTCGTCTCGGCCATTCCCTATCAGCTCGGCCTCGGGCAGATAGGATCAGAGCAGTTAGGACGATGATCATGATTAATAAAGGGAAACGCACAATTAAGGAATAATCAGTCGATTAGCATCGTATTACCTAATTTGGTAAATGTCAGGAGAGGCCCACCACACTTAAGGCCCATGACAGGTAGTATAAATAGGTCAATGGAAACGAGGTATGTCACTGTTTATTTATTACTCTCGATAATTGTGTTTATCCTGACTTGAGCGTCAAAGTGCCTTTTGCAGGTACCTCCCCCCTCTGAAGCATCCACTTGAAGCTCTCGTTCGGCCCTTCACCTACCAGAAGATTACGAGTGTGCCCTTAGACAGGTACATATTTTTTTAAAAAAAATCTAATGTCCAGTCACACACTATCTTTTTTCTTCTAATTTCTTTTCTTTTTCTCTCACAAAAAAAAAAGTCTCTAACCTAGTAATAACCTTTCCAGGGTGACATTTGGCTAAATGAATAAATGGACTATGAGTTTTTAATTTTTTTCCATGAGTGAGTTGTAGGTTTTTATATTGTTGTTGTATGAGTGAGCTCGTGAGTCAGTTCAACCCATCATAAATTTAACTTGGATGAGCAGGGTTCATGGTGGATAGGGCTGAATTTTCAACATTACTAAAATTTGCAAAAAAATTTAACCCAATCTGACTCGAATTTGTGATGGGTTGAGGTGACTCAAAGGTTGTGACCCATTTTAACATGTGCATATTATAGAGAATAAAATTTTATTTTATGTTTTTTATAATATATATATATATATATATATATATATATATATATATGTGTGTGTGTGTGTGTG